TAGGGATTCTTGCCTGGAAAAACTTGAGAGTCTCTACAGAGAGAAGGTCAGGGTAAGGTAAGAGTAACGCTGGTTTGGACCTTCGTTATTTTATAACAGCTTTATTGAAGTTTCATGCTATAAAATCCACTCCTTAAGTGTACAAAGCAATGACTTTTTGTAAATTTGTAGAGTTTTATTAGCATCACTACAGTCCAATCTTAGAACATTTCCATCACCCAAAAAATGTCTTCCCATACCAATCTGTAGTCACTACTCATCCCACCCCCAGCCGTGATGGAACTAATGTGCATGATAATACCATCAACTATATTGAGCATTGTCTGGGGTTAATTCTCACAAGAAAATATGTCTGACTAAGGAGGAAACTGTGGCTCAGAGAGGTGAAGTGACTGAACCAGGGTCCCTGAGAGGGTCAAGATTCAAACCTCGGACTCTCTGGGCCCAGACCAAGGAGAAGGTTCTGAGGAAATGTGTTTGTAAAGATGTGGGGAGATGTAACATTGTTTAAGCTGAGGAGAAATGCACCGTATAAACAGATATTGAAAATATAGAAGAGAGAGGGGTTTGTTGATAGAGAAAATTCAATGGAAGCAGAAGGGAGTGGAGTAAAAGAATTAAATGGAAACACTGGACTTCAATAGAGAGAGCTCTCTTGTAAAAGGATGGGGGTTTTATAGAATGACTGCATCGCACTGTCCTTAAAACCTCAAACTTTTATGTCAAACAGATCTGAATTCAAATCCTGCCTCTGCTACCTGTGTGGCTGCTATAAATATTTATTTGTTTTGTTTTGTTTTGTTTTGTTTTGTTTTGTTGTCTGCCTACCATCTGTATCCACCGTTCCATTTTAGAGAAATCCCTTCACCATCGCAGTCTTGGGGAGGGGCAGTGCCGACTCTTAAAGTTCAAGTACTTGTTTTCCTGCCTCTCTTGCAGCTAGGATGTGAGCACATGGCAGAGGCTCAGCCAATCAGATGCCCCCATTCTGTGTTTGTTTTTTTAAAATCTGATGCTCATAATTCCAGGAAACAGGAAAAGTGGAGGATTTATTTCAGCAAAAGAGCCCGCCGTGATATCCAGTGTCCAGAGGCAGCAGGGAAGCAGAGCAAGCAGAAGTGGAGCTCAGGGTCCCAAGCAGTGGGGTTTGGTGGCAACTGAATCTTCCCTGAACTGGGTCTTAGAGTGATTTTTCATTCTGGTTCTACCTACCCACCTCCCAACCTATTCTTTAAGCCTGATTATGCAGCCCCTGAGCTGGCAAATAGCCAAAGGGTTTCCTTGCTAAAAATTCTAATTGGTACAGTGACCATAGGCAAATTGTTTAATTTGGGGGATAATAATATGTCTGCCTCATGCTTCCTTTTTTTAAAATATGTTTTTTATTGATTTTTTGTTTTGTTTTGGAGAGAGAGGAAGGAAGAGGGGGAGAAACACTGATGTAAGAGAGAAGCCTGCTGGGGATCAAGCCTGCAATCCAGGAATGTGCCCTGACCAGACCAGTGACCTTTTGATGCATGGGACGGTGCTCAACCAACTGAGCTATACCAGCCAGGGCTCATGATTCATATGACATTAATTGATAAT